CAAAACTACCAGTAACAAAGAGTTTCTGATTAATGGAAAGGAATAGGGGGGAAATCTTCTGTTCTAATCTTAAATAAGTGCTGACCCAGAGTACTGTAACAGAGACAATAACAATAATTTAAGGAATATCAAATCACGGTTAGCTGCACAAACAAAAGGTCTTAAAAAAACCAATCTGGTGTGACTCCAACAGAAGTTTGTTCCAACAATCTATAGCTTTGTGTGTTTTTTCTTCCCTTAATATTTGTTTAAAAAAACTACCTTTCCCCCCAAATTTTAGACCTCCTCATTTAGAAATTTTTCACCCAGGATAATCTGATAATTCCAAACATTATTTCACAAATGTTTTTTAAACAAGTGGCCATCAAAGCTGACCGCTGCTCAAAGAAATCAGTGTCACTCAGCCAGTCTACTTCTGGCAAGGGAAAAAAAAGGTTAATTCAAAAAGTTCCAGCTGTCCCAGAACCCCAGAGAGGAATGGCTTTTTACTGTAACCCAAACAGTTTTCAGCAAAGCCATTTTGAGTTTTGTCAGTAAATTGGTTGGGGTATTTTACCCCCTCTAGCCCCGAGTGCCTGTGAGCTGGCCTCGGAGCGGAGGGGCTGCCTCCGCAGGGACGGGCTCCTGCCGCCGCCGTGCTGAGGCTGCAGCCCCGGTTTTAAGCTTTTCTCTGTGTGTGTTGGTTAATCAGGAGCACATTCAAAAACACCAATCAACAGACTCAGTGAGATAACGAAAATGACCCCACATATGGGTGTTTGTGGGTCAATGCCTCCTTTCATTATCAATTACACAAAACATATTAGAGGACATGTACATTCGCCTCAGTCTTTCTCCAGCAAATACGCGTGGCTCTCACTGATGCTGCTGCTGCAGCAGAAATAACTTAAAAGATATAACAAATGCCCCGTAGATGGGGTAATGCAGCCCAAGAAAAGCTGCATGTGGTACTCAGATAGAAACTGGGTGTGCATGCAGTGCAGGGATCAAATGGGCTGGCCCATGCCGAACAAAATTGCAGGCTCTGCTCGGGTGGAAGGCTCCAGCAAAGACCCTTCAGCCTTTTTCTGGGCCATCCCTCAGCAGAGACAAACCAACTGATCCTTATTTGGATGACTCATGTGTTCAACTAATTGGCTAAATGGGGGCCAGACCTCTGGTTCCCTCCTGCCCTCATAGTTTGCTGAGCTGGGACCAAACCCAGACAACCACAGCCCATCCCATAGGGCTTCGTCTCCTCCAGCTCTACACAGATGTTTAATACTCCAGTTGCTCATGCAAAGACAGTGTTTCCCCTCCTCCAGATTTCACCTCCAAAAGCTCAGCACATCCAGCCCAAATGAATGATAGCTCTGGATCCCTGGCAGCGTTGTGGGTGAGAGATGAGCACAACCACAGCGCGGTCCCCTGTGACGCCCTGTGCCTTCAGCTTCAGGCAGGACACAGACCAAAGTCACTCTGCCTTGGTCTGCATTTCCTAGATACAGGCAAACAGTGGGAAAACATTTCTCCCTGACTCCCATTTCATGTTTGAGATTTGCTTTATTTTGAGAGCGAGGAAGGGGGAAATGACTTTCAAGGCATCTTAATGCAATTTTATTCCTGCTCCCAAATAAGTATAATACAAAAAATTAAATCAGCTTCAATGTGATACGGATGGCCCCAGGATACAGCTGAGGTGATGTCAGTCTACAAAACATAACATTACGTGTCATTATTTCATGTCATTACTTATTGATTTAATTCCATCATATTTCAGACAACTTTTATTGTCTAGGTACAAGTCGTCATATTAATAACTGGAAGCACATATGCAGATATCAAAAACACCTTCTGCCACTAAACCAATTTTAAAAATGAATCCAAGAGAAATATTTTAAGAGAAAACTCCTCCAGAATCAGTTTTCCATGGACAAGAAAGGCCAGGCAACTGTTTTTCTGGTTCCAATATAACATATATTCTCATTTCATATTGCGATTCCTTTTTTACTTTTGGTTTGTTGGGTTTTTTTCTGTTTTTTTTTTTGTTTTGTTTTGTTTTGTTGTTTTTTGGTTTTTTTTGTTTTTTTTTTACAGGAAAGATTGTTCAGAAAAGGGGGAAGTTGCCAGTTTTGAAAACCAGGTATAGCTAAACATTCTGTTAAAACATATTCCCTCAAATGTGCATTATCATCTCTTCAACTTCACTGGGGAACATTTTGGATTATGAACTGAATAAAGTGGATATTATAAAAATGTCTTAGAATTAAATTTTATAATATTGGTGTGTCATAATAAAATAGAAAACAGTTTTAATATCAACAGGGATTATTATTATTATATTACCATTATTATTATTATTATTATTAGTGTGGTTGATGGTTTTTCCTATGCAGAAACCCTGAAAACAAAAATACACCCTGCAATAAACTGTGAACCATTAAAGGTTTGTAGATAGCAATGCCTCCTGTAGGAGTATAACTTTGTAGATAAAGTTGGGTGCATGTTAAATAATAAGCTTAATCAGAATTAAAAAATCTGACTGTAGTATGAAAGAGAATTCAAACAAAAAGCTTCCCTGAAATTGACGTTGGAAAAAATATGTATTATTTTATTTTAGCATTCTTCTGGCAGTAATCAACAACTTTTAAAGATATTTCCAAAACTGCATGTTCTCCAAGTTCCATATTTTCCTGTGTTTTACCCTATTTTGCTTTTTCTGGCTTCTTTTCTCTCCATTGCTGCAGGTGTTTCTCTGTGTTCTCATACACATTGGACTGCAGAACGGGAAAATCCTGCAGCACCATAAATTCTCAGCCCAGTCCCACAGCAGCAGATTTTGGATGAAGCAGGCTATTCCTATGCTCCCTTAGCAAACTCCCCAGCAGCGCTGCGCCCAGAGGACCCAGCCTCGAGGAGCACTCTCCCCCACGAGGCATCAGAGGCTTGGGGTGCTTGGTTGCAGATGTCCCACAGGCAGCCTGGAGCCCAGGGCCCGTCAGGGGGTCCCTGCCACCGCCCCTTCCAGCCGTATCCTCCAACCTCCTTTACTCAGTAAGTCCCAGCGCTGGAAGGAAACACCAGGCTGAAGCCAGCCACGGGGCTGGGAGTCTCCCCCAAGGAAGCTGATGAGAGTTTTCCCACCCGTTTGATTTTCCTCTGAGAAGGGCTTGCCAACCTGGGGACAATGTCCTGCAGCAAGGCCGAGTACAAAGGGAAAACAGTGTCCCCAGAATAATGCCCTGCAAGACTGTCTCCAAAATGTACTCTTTCACATTTCTTTATACTCAAATTCCCCTTTCCATATTCAGTTTCAGACACAAATATCTGTAGATCTGCCTCAGCCCAGGTGAGACCTCATTCCAAGGTCTTATTCAATAAATTATTCCAGATAAGTTTAAGGCTAAGCCCCTGCAGAGCCCCTGCCACCCCCAGCAAGCCCCCACAGAAAGGCTTCGATTAAAGCAAGCACTAAATGCACTGCTGGGTTGAAGCCTGAAAATGTTTATAGGACCAGGGATTAAAACACAGCATATTACATCTGGAGCTTCCAAAGCCAAGTGGACCTGAGCAAAGTCAAATGGAAATGATAACTGTAGTTTTATTTTAAAAATAATAGCACAGGCTTCAGCAGTAGTTGTGATATGCTGTCTCCTCTTGGGGAACTAATAGACAGGGAACAGCAAGGCTTTAAATGATTTATTCAGTACCCTGGAGATTTTTTATTTTCTTTTTCATTTCCACATAAATTACACAAGCACTTTATAAAATGAATACACATAAAACACCTTGTAAGTGCATAACTTAAAAAAACCAAAACAACAAAAAAAAAAAGCAAACAAACGAATGCCTTTAAAAATCTCACTGAAAATAGGTCTTCTGGTTGCTTGTTTGTACTAACTGCTTAAATTGGCAGTGCTGTTTTAGATTATAAGTAACTGAAAAATATATACTGTTTATATATATATATAGCTATATATTCCCGGCATTTGCTAGAAGTGCTTTGTTCAATTTTGTCTCATTCTCTTGGTACAATTAAATGAACAACTAAGTTGAACATCTGAGAGTGAAATCGATTTTTTGTTGTCAGGAACTGCCTTCTAATGGGAAACTGATAAAATAAAACATTGGACAACATTTTGCAAATTATATGGAAATATTCCATGGAAAGAAACTGCATTACCCCCACAAACTGCCACCCAGATCTTCTCGTTATTAAAATACTCGCTGATGGGCACAGAGTCCGTGGCAGCCAGGGACTGTTTGGGCTCTTCATACAATTGAGATATCATATTTACCGTCCTCAGGAGTCTGTCAGATCCTTCTCTTGTTTCCCCCTCGCAAGAAAAAATTAATGAAAAAGGGGAGGAGAGACAGCGAGGTGAGATCTGAAGGGTTCCCATCTGGCACAAGCAGAAATTGCTGCTGTTTCCTCCATTTGTTGCATCCCCGAATGTCTCCGGTGCGGACAACCCAAGAAGTCTCACAGCAGAGACGTGCTTCCCAGGGAGCCTTCTCCTTTTCTTTCAAGCCAACAGTTCAAAACATATACCTATATATATCTATATAGAGATATATATAGATATACATATATATATGGGTGTATATAGACTTTGCACTGCCGCCAGTAGAATCCTAAGGAAGTTTTCCTCTCCCCAGCTGGATGATCACCAGCGGCTGTGTCTGTCAGGGCTGGGCTTTTTTCTGGCAGCACGTCAGCAAGTTCAGGGTCGACACTGGAGACTTTCAAGAGAACAAAGGGGTTGGGGGGAGGTGAAACAGCATTGCTGCTCCAGCAACTCCATGGCTAGGGAGAGTTTTTGGGATGACTTTCCTTCTTTTTGTTCCTTGTGGAGGGCTTTCCCAGCTGGATACATAGGATGCACGTGGCCAGAGGATAGGGAAGTTCCAGCCCTCTTCGGGGAGAAACAGAGTTGCTACATGTCCTACCAAGGATGCCTCGTGTCCCCCTGGGGACAGCCCCCCAGTAGAAGGTGTAGGTGCCACCAGTGGGTGCCAGATTATTCACAAGCAGAGGCGACAGTGGTGACACTGGTGATCTTGGTGGAGTCATCAGACCAAGGCTGGAGGTTCTGAAGGGCGAAGAGAGAGGAGTTGTGGACACAGATGGGATCTGCTTGGATGGGCTGGTTGATGGTTTTTTGGAAGGCTTCCTGCTGCAGCTGCATGAGGATGCGGTTTGCTTGCTGCCGCTCAGCCTCCCGCTCCTCCGCTGTCTGCCTCCTAGGAGAGAGGGAGCCATTAGGGGGGCCTGGGGAAGCAAGGGAAGGGTGTCTCCAGAGATTAATTTGTGCTGGGTGCTCATGATGTGGGAGGGCAGGGGTAGGAAAAGAGGGTGCCTTGCCATGGCATGGTCCCACATTCCCTACACAAATCCCATAAACTGGTATTTAAATCTCAGTAAATGCCATAGACTGGCTCTGTCTCTCTTAGTGGTCTCAGTAAAAGCACTGCTCTGATCAAAGAGAGCTGGGAGCAGCCCACAGCTTTGGATTACTCTCTGCTCACAGGAAAAAAAACAAGCAGGGACAAAACACCCAAAGTGCCACAGAACAGCATTGCAAAAGTTGCAATCCCCTGAAAACGTGCTCTGGTATCTGACAGCAAGAGCCAAGCATGCAAAACCCCAGGAAGAAGCATGGCACAGGGTGAGATGAGACAGTGACTGGCAGTGCCACACAGCTGGGAGATGGGCAATGTCACCCTGGACGTCCCCTTCCAGCATCCAGGTTTGCCACCTTGTCTGCCACGCTGCGGTGACCAGCTGTTGAGAGCTTGGAAGAAGACAAAAACTTTCCAATGCAGGCAGCAAAATTTCAGCTAAACACTAGAAACACATTTTTTAGCAGTAACAAAAATCAAAGCACAGAGTATACTATCTGAAAAGGGTGAATGACAGCATTTTTCAGAACAGTTTGGACATGTGTCTGCCTGGTATGACATCAGCAGAGGTGATCCTCAAGGAGAGGGTGTTAGGGGGTCAGAAGGGGCTCTTTCCAGTGTTGGTTGGGCCCTGGCTCTAGGCTGCCTAGGAACAGAGAATGGGATGGGTAGAAATAGCCAGAATCCTCTTATATCCACAGTGGAAACCCCACTCCTGCTTGCTTGGATGGCAGGTCAGTCTAAAGTCTGCAGCTTGCACTCACCCCTACTTCACCTGGCACCTCTATTGATGCTGCTGAGAAAATGTGGGAGCAACTCACATGCCAGTCCCAGGATGATTCCCAAAGCATTCTTTCCCTCCCTTATACTCCCAGGCTCAGCTGACATCCTCTCAGAAGCTTCAGTGGACCAGCGACACAGGAAATGGCAGCTTTTTAATTTAGCGGCTCAGGAGCGATGTGAGATGTCTCATCCCCTCTGGCCGTGGGAATTGGAAGTGGCAGCTCTGATCTCCACAGTGGCATCTCAGAGCACAGGGCGGGGGTCCCTGGCTCCCAAGGGGGAAGCAGGCTGGGACTTGGATGCCAGCAATGGGCCTCTGGGCACCCAAGCCTCCAGATACGTGGCCAGTGTTCCCTGCTGGGAGCAGGTAGTTCAGAGCTCAGTCCCTGTTCTAATCAGTGTGTCAACATCTCACATCAAACATCCAGGGAAGAGCGGGCTCAGAGCTGCACCTACCCAGGGAGCAGCTTGTTCTCTGCCTCAATGAATATTTAATGACTCCCTGCACAACGAGGAGATGCTCCAGGGGGAGGGAGGGAGGGAGCCCCAAGTCCAGGGTGATCAGAAGTACCATGGCTGTGATCACCTTGCCCCCAAGTATCTCCCTGCTGCAAGCAGCTGGTCTAGCCATGGATTCACATCAGAATGGGATTTCCAGGTTCATACCTGCCTGGAAAGAGCTGTGTCTAAAGCAAGAGCCCAAATCTGAGGAGGGGATCACACAGCCACCTCCCTGCAGCGGAGACAGCTAGGCAAAGGGCAGGGGCAAGACTCTTCCCCCTAATCTGTGTTCAAGCAGTTAAACTGCTCAGAGGGCTTATAGCAACTCTATTTTCTCAGATACTTCCCACTGCCTCAATCAGGCTGAGCCTACAGCACTTCCTTCCAGCTCTCAGTGCCCCAGGAACCACTCAGAGCCCACTGCCCAGTGGAGGGCCCTGAGGCAGGAAGTTGGATGTGCTATCAGCCAGGGGCACCCATATCTCCATCACAACGCCAGCAGGCACAGACGCATACAAGCAGAACTTACACGCCTGTGTCCCTCTGGCTCAGGCCAGAGATTCTCCCATGTCTAATATTACAGCTGAGGTCTGGCTGCAGCCTCTCCCTTAGGCAGAAGCAGGATTTAGTTTCTCTTTACCCAGCTATTTTTTGTAAAACACGTGAATAGGTTTGTATCCTCTGCACTTCTGCCAAAAGAGGCTGAATTTAGCCAACAGACGCAAAGAGTATTGACAGATGGATTTGCCTCACTTCCTTAGGAAACCTGGTTAGAAGACACAGCTGACCCCATTTTGCAGGCCACAGCAGGACTGTTCCTCCTCCAGGATTCTTTTTCTGGCCAACAGAGATCACTCTAGCTAGAGACTTCCAAACAGTTGGGGAATTGCACTACCATGGATTCTCTAGGGAAGAACTCACTGGGGTTGAGGATTCACACCCCCTCTTGGTTTCAAGTTCCTTGACCCCCATTTCTTACCCAACCCCAGCATACTCAGGCAATCACTGTCCTGTTAATCCTTGGGAAGACTCTGAGGAAGTCCTTTTCCCCCATTTTGAAGAAGCTGCCTGCCTGCCTGCCCTCCAGCACCCAGTGCGCAGCACCCAGCAGGTCAGCACCCAGCCCAGGGCAGGAGGTGTTCTCAGGGCTGGGGTGTCTCCCAAGGGAACATGCCGGGAACGTGCAGCTTGGGAGGGGCAGGGTCACTGCGACGGGGCCCTGGAGGCTCCGTGTGAGCCCAGCCTTTTCTTCCTCTCCCGCTTTAGCGGCACGCCCGGCAGCAGAACAAAAAGAAAGCGTTTGGGCAAGGAGGCGCAGCGAACCCCGCGGGGACGAAAATCTCCGCGCTGTGCAAAGCCCGGTACTCCGACAGCCCCAGGCCGGGAGCTCCACACGCCGCTGCCGCGGAGGAGCCTCCGCACCCTCTGGTGACACTGACTGCACCCACTGCACTCGTGTGTGCTCACACACGTTCATCCCCGTGGCGTACCCGCACGCGTTTTTGCACGCAGGTCCGGTGTGCTCACACCAGGTAATGCCGGGCCAGCACACACCGCGCCGCGGGGCTGTGCTTTGCACTCACACCCCCGTGCACGCTCACACACACACACACACACACACACTGCGTGCGGGCACACACGGGCACGCGTGGCCTTCACACTGACCGTGCAGTTACACACGCGTGTCCTGCTTGCACACACGCCCGCAGGTGTGCACACACCGCAGGCACACACACACACGTGTACACACACCGTCACATTCACGCACACACGGGGCTTGCACGCCTCGGAGCTGCCATCAATGCTCCCGACAGAGCTGCTGGCAGCAAGGTCTGTCCCCGCCGGACTGCCCCGCCCCGGTCCTCGCAGACCCCCGGTCCCTCACCTCCACTTGGTGCGCCGGTTCTGGAACCAGGTCTTCACCTGGGCGTCCGTCATCTTGAGGGCCTTGGCCAGGGCAGCGCGCTCGGCCGAGGCCAGGTATTTCTGCCGGTGGAAGCGCTTCTCCAGCTCGCAGATCTGCAGGCGGGTGAAGGAGGTGCGCGGCTTCTTCTTCTTGGGGGGCGTGCGGTTCTGGTAGGGGTGACCTATACGGCGTGTTACAGTGAAGGGTGAGAGGGCCACTGGGGGGGACACGGGAGGAGGGGGGATGAGAGGCAAAGAAGCAAGCAGCGACACATCAGCAGAGGGGCTCCGTCTCCCGGCCGCTGGGCTGGGGACCACCCCCCACCGCTCCGAAGCCGCGGCGGCCCCGCCGACACCCACGCACGAGCTGCGAAAACTCGGCGGCGGCGGCCCCGCGTACCGGGAAGGCCCGGCCGCCTTCCCTGGGCGCTGCGGGAACCCGCCGGGCACCGCTCGGCGCCGGCGGAGGGGAAGGTGGACGCTTGCCCGGCCAAGTGCCCGCCGGGGAACGGAGGGTCAGCAGCAGCAGCCGGTCCTGGCGCCGGGCCGGGCTCCGCGCCCCGTGCCAAGCGGGCTCGGGATAATTTCGTTTAGGCGCGGCGGTAACCCCATGGCCCCGACCCCAGCGCCTCGTACATGGAAAGTACAGTCCCGGACTGGAAACTGGAGTTAAGATTTGTTGTTCTGTTTGTTTGCTATTTTTTTGTTTTGCTTTAAATTTTGTTTGGGTTGGTTGGTTTGGGGTTTTTTTCCCAACTCAAAAAAAAAAATCACATTATGTCTAAGCCAAGAACAAATTGAGTGAAATTCAGTCAGGTGCTTGCCTGGGGAACAGCCCGTTCGTCCACCCGCGGCCGTGCCCAAACCCAGAGCCATCGGATCGAAATTAAACGGGAACTTTCAAAAATCGGGCCTCGGTTTCCGCCGTCGGGAAGCGGCGCTGATTTTTCCCCATTGTGATTTCGTTTCTTTTGTTCGTTTGTTTGCGTCTTTTTTATTTATTTCTTTTCGTTGTTCGAATTTATGCTTTGTTAGTGCCGAAGACGAGCCCAGCTACACCTACAAACAGTGGCGAGGCCGGGAAGCGGCTCTAGCCCGAGCCCCGCTCTGCTCGGGTGTGCAAAAAGTGACTTTTGGGGGCAAAAAAGCCTGAGCCGAAACCCGCAACCGGGGAAAGCCAGCCCAGTTAAGAAAGACAACGGGACGGCCTTCCCGGACAGGCCGGGGCCGGGGCCGCCTGTCTGCCCTCCCGCCGGCCGGGCCGAGCTTCCCAAACCACTGTCGGTTTTGAAGGAAAGTTTCCCCTGGTGCTGGCTCGGGCGGCAGGGATTGGGCAGCCGTGCCCGGGGCTCGCGGGAGGCCGTGTACGGAGTTTACCATCCCTTTTCTTCCTTGCCCGCCTTTGCCGACCCGTATCGCGGGGGAAAAAAAATATAAAAAAACTTACACCAAACAAACAAATAAATAAATTAAAAGGAACTAAAACAACAACATAAAACCTCACATATACAAACAATCAAACCAACCAAAATATCAAAGCAAACAAACAAAAGGAAACACAACTCATTTAGGGGGGACTGGATACGCCTCATTTCCCACCCTGTCTTGCTTGTGGCCTCTTCCCTGACCAACTTCTCAGGACCATCCCGGCTGCTTTCTCCACCCGGGCGGAGAGATCCCCGGCTGGATCCTGCGTGCCCCTGTGGGCACCGGTTGTAGCGCCGAGGCCGGGCGGCGGGGGAGGAAGCGGGGCGGCGGGAGCAGAGAGAGAAGCGGGGTCCCGGTGGCGCAACTCACCTGTGAACCTGTCTTTTGTGTACCGCCTGTTGCTCTCCATCCAGGGGAAGGTGAGCCCCGTGAGGCTGTTCATGCCGTTCACCGCCGGCACGGCGGCGGAGAGAGGCTGGTGGACGCCGCCGGCCACGGGGCGATGGGCCGGGACGCGGATCACCCCGCCGGCCGAGCTCAAGGTGTTGCCGTTCATGCTCACCGCCATGTTCACGTTGTAGGAGCCGGGCAGGCCGCCCATGCTGCAGGAGGTGCCGGTGTAGGCGCCGGCCGCGCCGCCGCTCGCCCCGTAGCCACCCGTGACCGTGTTATAGGCGCTGCCCACGATGCAGCCCAGCCCGTAGTCCGCCGAGTCCTGCAGCCGCGGGTGCGACACCATGCAGCTGCCCGGCTCCGACGTGTTGAGGATCTGGTCGATGCCGAAGCTGATGGGCTCGGCTTGCCCTTGGTGCAGGTGGTGAGCCCCGAGGTGCTCCATGCCGCCGTTCGGGCACCGGGGCCGGACCTCCGCCCCGGGCAGGGCAGCAGAGCCCGCACCGCCCCGAAACCGGCAACGGGGCCGCGCAGAGCGGGGAACGCCGGCTACGCGCTCAGTCCCATAGCACGACGGCACAGCACCCCAAGAAACGCCAGCAGAGCCACGCAAGGCCGGGACAAGGCAGCCACACGCTCAGCACGAAGACACAGCAGCACAGCCATGCGCAGCCCAGGTACAAGACTGAAACACCCCCGCAGCCCGGGACGCGACAGCAGTGCCCAGCGCGGCGCAGGACACAGACACCGGGGACACAACCGCGCCAAACACACCCGACAGCGTCCAGGAGCGGAGACGCGACACCCCAGCCGCGCACACTGGTCCCGCTCCGATGAGACTCAGCACCACCATGTACCAAGACACGTCAGGAGCCTCTCACCCAGGACACACAGACGTACGCACGGACACACACACACACAAGGGTGCCCCGGGGACCCCTCGCCGCGGCGGGCGGTGGGGAGCCGGGAGCCCCGCGGAGCGGAGCGCGGCGGATTGTGAGTGCGATCGCCCGCCGCCCCGCTTGCCCATCAATCACCCTACCCAGGGCCTACTGCTGCAGGCCCTCACTCTCCATTGGTTGGATGCTGAGAGCAGCCCAGTGAATGACAGCAGAGAAGAGCACACAAGAGGAGTTTCTTCTTCCCCAGCCCCCTCTCGCACCCCCACCCCACCAAAAAAAAAAAAAAAATCACCGCCCTTCCCGGCCTTATAAAGTGAGCGCTGGGTAAGCGCAGGGCACTGGGGGTGAAATAGTGGCTGATACCGGACGGCAGAACGGGATTGTTTGGTCCCGAAGTTTGTGGCTGCAGACTGCTGGGAAGGGGGATCTTGGCTGCCAGGCCCCCAGGAGACTCAAGCCTAGGCTGATCCCGAGCGAGGGCTGAAGCCGGAGGATCCCCTTCTGGTGGGGTCCCAGACCCGCCGTGCCCCTTTGTTCCGGAAGAGTGTTCTCAATTTCAAAAGTCAGCGCCTTCCAAAAAGCCGCGGAGGAGGCTGCTCTCCCAGCACCAGACCCCAGAGCAGGGACATGGGGACGTTGAGAAGGGCACCCCGCAAGTGCCCGGACCCGTGGAAGGGAGGGATGGGAGGAGGCGAGGGGCTCCTGAAGCACACTTTCCCCCGGAGAGCCGGGGAGGGGCTCATTTCCCCGGGACGATGGCAGGCCCCAGCTGCGCCCCACGGGACAGCGGACACTGCTGACAGGGCACCCGCCACTGCTGGCCCCACCGTCTGCTGCCGCCGTCCCCTCCCGCTCCTGCCCGCGGGGAGATGAGTGTTTCCATTAAAAAAAAAAAACAAAACAAAACAAAACAAAAAAACAACAATGCGGGGAGATGAGTGTTTCCATTTAAAAAAAAAAAAAAAAAAAAAAAAAAAAAAAAAAAAAAAAAAAACCAGAATTATTTTAAAAGTTTAAAACAACATGAAAATGAAAGCCGCTCTTGCAATTTCTGTAAAACTTGCTGCGGCCCTGGGCCGTCGGTGCCTGCTCTGCCCAGCCGGGCCGGGGGCAGAGCCGCCGGTGGGACCGGGCACTGCCGTCTCCTCGCCTCCGGCCTCCCGCTGCTGCCGACCGGCGCTGCCCAGTGCGACCCAGCGCTCCCGGCGCGGTGTCAGGGTTGTACCCGGCAGTCTGTGCTCTGCCCGCCTTGTCCTTCCCGCTACGGGCCGCGACCGGCCCTCCAGGCCCCCTCCTCCCTCCTGGGGCAAAGGCTGCCCTTCAGGTCTTCAGAGTGCCCGTGGTTTAGTGCCCACAAGGGACCGTGGGGACCCAACAGGACAGCCTGCTCTGGGGTATCCCCCACACAAAACAAACGGCACTGGCATGGAAAGTAGACGCGTCTGTGCTCTCAGGTACACCTCACTCATCACCAGCTATATCATCCCATCCCCATCCTCACATTCCCAGTGTTGCACACAAGCTCACAAACACCCTCATGAGCTCACAAACACCCATGCTCACAGTCCCACACATTCTCTTGCACACACACCTACGTTTGTGCTCTTATTCAAATGCCCACACACTCGCAGTTACAACCCCCCTCACACACAAGTTCTGACACACGTCCTCGTGCACACCTTCACAGCTGTGTGTACGCACACCCACAGTCACTCCCACAACAGGCAGCAACAGACCCCCGTTCCTGTGTGCTCAGACACCCCCAGACACACACACTGACACACCAGTGCTTGTGGGTTCCTGCCACCCTCAGCCAAGCCACAGCCTTGCTGTGGTAGCCCAGCTATCACCACACCCACCACCACAGCCCCACATGGAAGGCTGTGGAGACAGCGGGCGGCAGCAGCAACCCACAGCCACCCCTCGGCCCCGTGCCCGGCCGGTGCCCAGCCAGCCTGCCCCCACCACCACCCAGCCCTGCCTGCCTGCTGGGGTCAGATTTCCCCCCCCTCCCAGTACCTGCCTCAGTTCTTGACTTCTGAACTCTTCAGGGAACTCGCTGGCGCCAGCTCCATCAACCAAAGTCCTTGTGGTTAGGAGGAGCTGGGAGAGGAGGGAGGGAGTGAGGGCTGGGGCCAGCCGGGGCTGGGAGGCTGCCCTCGGGCAGGGGCCTTCTTGTCCCACAGGACTGCAGCTGCCTTTCCCCTTCCTCAGGATATGCCTGAGCTTCTTCTCCTGCCCCTTGTCACACAGGAGATGTGGGGCAGAGTCTGCTCACCTGCCCTGAGCATGTCAGGTTGTCTCCACAGGGAAGCAATAAAAATGCCATGCCACTCCTGCACAGTGCCACAAAGTCCCCTGACAGTGAGCTCTGACACCCAGAGGGATGCAGATCTGCTGCCAAGTCCTGATACCCAGGAGATGCCCCCCTCCAGTAAATAACACAGCTGCCTGATGCCACTAGCACATCCCAAATGCCCCAGTTGATGCCAGAAAAATTCTTGGCCTCCCCTGTGCCAGGGATCCCCCAGACTGAGCAGATGCTGGAGGCCCCAGAGGGACTGGCCTCGAGAAATCACAAGGTCATCACCAGTGATCCAGTCTGGTTAGTGAGGGTCACAGCCCCAGCTGCTGAGCACAAGGTAGAGGCTTTGGGGCAATAAAACTTGCCAGGAAAGAGATAACAGGTAAGTCAGAATTCCTTCATCCAGCACCCAGTGAGGACAAAGGAGAAGAGCAGGCAGGGCTAGGTCCTGACAAAGATTCAAAATTTCTGGAAATCAATGGGAATTATTGGTGAGTTTGGGGATGATGCATTGCCCTAGGATTTATTCTTTGTACAAGCCACACTTCACTCATATCCTTAAAAGAGCTACACAGCTCCTGGCTCTGGAAGTTTGGCCACTGCACATCTAAGCTCCAGGACAACACCCAGCTGAGATTTCCAGTATAAATTGCTCCTGGCCTCAGTTTCTCCTTAGGCTCTCTAGGGCTGTGGCTTGAGCACTACTGTAGAGCACAAGGCTCTGGAAACGTCCTGTCAATTAATATACTGTTTTTCCCTCCCTAATTCTGAGGCCAAAGAGGCCATGCTGCAAGCTCACACACAGATACATGTCAGGGTCAGTTTTGGTGCTTTCAGGCTCACATCCCAACAGGAGAGTCTGCAAAGACCAGCACCCACTTTGAGATGCATCCAGTGAGCCTACAAATGGATCCCTGGGGTGGGGGCCAGAGGCACCCCAGCCCAGCTGCCTCTGCCTGCATCTGCAGCCAGTATGTTTCCATTTGCTGAGGGCTGGGTTTGTCACTCTTTGCTAGGACTCTAAATGCCAGGCCCTGCAAAAATAATTCAGATATCACTGTCTAGGTAGAGCCAGGAGATAGTCATTCCCAGATGCTTCCCCAAACTGCTGCTTTAGTTCTTAGTTCTTCTGTACAGAGAAATCCTGTTTCGTGGGAAACACCAATAAGGTGGGTCAGACCTCCCTGGAGGCAGAAGAAAGCCTCCAGTGCAGGAGCTGACACATTCACTAAGTTGCTGCAAAATTCATAATTTAAGGAAGCCCAGGAAGTCCTTGGCCTCCACTTCTCCAGAGCATCTCACCTCTTTCAGGTATTCACAACCACTATACATATTCCTGCAAGCCTTGAAACTTTTGTCCCCCTTCATCTACCCCAAACAGCTGCTGGGACAAGTTCATTTCCAAAATGGTGTTTTAATCCTGCCCCAGATGAGGGTTGAGGGCCCAGTTTATATCCATGCTAGGAAATAACAATTAAGATGAGGGTTTTTTTCTTGATGCACAAGGCTCTCCCTCCCCACGAAGTGCCCAGGGATCCTTTCTCAGGTTCTCTCATTGATCGTGTGCATCTGCCTCCTGCTAGCAGAGAGGAGCAGCCCAGCCAGGGCCTGACCTCCACCCTCCACTCCCCTTTTCTTCCGCCTTGCTGGCTTGCCGGGGCTCCTCTTGGCCCCTGAGCTCCTTTGCAGCTCGGGGCTCCCGGGAGTTTGGCATCGCAAGCTGCCTCCCGGCCTCGCAGCTGCTGGCCGGGACACCGCTGCGAAATACAAGCTCTCCTGAGGGGACCGGGGACAAAAGTGATGTGTCTGGGACCTTGGCAAGATCCCAGCAAAGCCCATTGGGCTCGGTCCGAAAACTGCACTTCGAGCGGTGTTTTCCAGCACCTATAAAATCCTCTCTATTGCTGAAAGGAGAGTGAGGGGCTCTGCTGCGAGCAGGTGCGCGGCGACAAACCCCCCTCAGCAGAAGGGTGCGCCCCGACTCCATCCCTGCCTCGCTTCCTTGCGCCGGGGCCTCCCCACCTCGAGTGTTATCCAGCTTTCTGCGCGTCCATCACCTCCCGCAGCTCTTTTCTCTCCCGTCGCGGCCCCTGTGAAATCCATTACGGCGAAGGCGCCGGTGCGAGCTCGGGCTGCTAGCGGGGGCTGCAGGCAGAGCCCCGGGACCAAGACGGCCCCGTCGGGCGTCCCTCGCCTCTCCCAGGACCGGACGGCGCGGTCTCCGCTGCCGTCGGGGCT